CGCAACATGGAACCCCTCAAGGACAGAAGACCCACCCACACTCTCTCAAGAAGCCCTGTTGCTACCAGATTTCAGTCTTCCCAGATATTTCTGGATATTGATGATAGTTAGCCATGTAATTGCACCTGCTGCCCAAAGCACTCTGGCACTGAAAGAAGGGTCACCTCTCTGGTCCCCAAAATACAGGATCATTGCATCCTAAGCCCTGTGAAGTGTCAGCCAATGTGTGAATCTTTTAGGGCCCGTATGTGTGTGTGCCTTCAAGTCAGTGTTGACTCCTGGAGACTGCCTGGACAAGTCCCTGCAACATTTTCCAAAGTGGTTTGCCATTGCCTGCTTCCTAGGGCTGAGAGAGAGTGAATGGCCCAAGGTCACCCAGCTGGCTTTGTACCTAAAGCAGGACTAGAACTCATGGTCTCCCAATTTATAGCCTGATGCCTTAACCATTACACCAAACTGGCTCTCTTTAGGACCAATGCTTGCTTCTCGCTGAAGAATGTAGAGAAGTTGAAGGAAGTAGGGGTAAATTGTTGATTCCCACTCAGGAATGCTCATAGCCAAACACCCTTTCCCTCCAAAAACATCAGTTGACGAGTTTCCATTTGTGTGGTAGCCAAGAATAGTGTAGGAGTTTTCCCAGAAAGAGTTGGCAGATCTTCCTGAAACTTGGCAGGTCATGAATGCCCAATATTAGAATGTCTGACCTACCTTTAACACTTTATTACATTTTACATGGAAATCTGTGACTGAATCTCATCAGTCTTGAAGGCAGCTCTGCAGGAAAGAAAGGGCTAGCTGGCAGAGGCATCTGCAGAGGGGGGCCAAAGTGGCAGGGCAAATAACAAAGGCAGCATCAAGATGTAAGCTCTGCCCCTTTGATATATCCATTGGGACCTTACAAGCATATACAAAAGGGGCAGAACATGCAGCACAATGATTTGGTGCTGCTTTTGTAATTTTAATGAAAGTGCTCAAACCAACAGACACCTCTGCCTGGTGGGTTGACCACAAAATATGCCAAGCCCACTACCTATGTGTTTTCGAAATATAGAAACTAAGATGGGTCAATTTTATGTAAACTGGAGGGGAGGGCTCTGTTTTTGTTAACATATTTCTACTTCTTTGCAATGTAGGAGTGTCCATTTCCAGCTCATTTTGCAGCTGCTTTTAACTGATAATAAAAACTGGGAAAACCAATAATGAATCTCCTATATAATGGATAGTTTGGCTGCAAGCAGGCAATTATCATTCCACTGTGTGAGCTGAATAAGCTGTTGGTCAGGAATTCTGAATTACAGCTCATGTTAAGAAAAAATTTGCCTGGATACATCCTGAAATCTGATGTTAAAATTGACCGCCCAGCACCTTTCCTTTCGCATTTCTTTTTGAGCTTTCCTTAACCCCAGTTCTGCACCTTTAGTGAGATAAAAATCTATTCTTGTGTCACCTCCGGCCTTGTGATTATTGTCACATGCATATAAATTGCTTTCCTTGCTGCTAGATTCCATACTGTAGACTATTTATTTTCTCATCACATTTCACACAAAAAAAGATGAGGCAATGTGATTAGAAAAATGGGGGTAATCTATTTTTCCCTTGATTCACTGGCTAAACTGTCTTCTTGTAGAGTTATTGTAAATGACTCAATTTGCTGCTAGCATTTTAATTCCTACTGATTTCAGTGGGAGAGATTCTGCAGATGCTTACGCTTCCCATTAAAAATAATTTTGCATGCAGTTATGCTGATGGGAGAGAGGAGACCCACCACCCTTGCATCAGTCCAACAGCTGCCAAATCCGGTGCTCACCCAGCCCAAGACAGAACAGGCAAACACATAGCTACTCCACATTAACATCTGGAGCAAAGTAGCCAGTATCTACCCATCCTGGACCATTATAGTGATCCTGCTGCCATGCAACTCAGGTACAAAAGGTAGCCAATTCCCTGACTGCAAAGTTGATCTATTTTCAGCCCAAGATAGCTTCCTGCCCCACAAAAATACAGATGATGCCACAAGCTTCTGTAACGCAGTTAGCAATGATCGGGTTGGTGAGAATTTCCCACACCCCTACAGGCAGAAGTTTATCCTGTTAGATCACAGTATCACACAAACGGAAGGAAGGCATTATTTACATTGCTTGGACCAATTAGTCTTATCAGCACTGTCCTCCCCTGGCAAACAATGTGAACAATCAGTCCTGCTAACAGCTATTTCTCATTAGCTTCCTCATAATGCCAGAAACTTGAGCATAGAATTCAACAATACTTATTTTCCTTACGCCTTCTCCGTGGCCCCTTTTGAGCCACCTGAAACCAGACTGCATTTAGAATAATGAAAAGGGATTTCTGCCCACTCGGCTAGGACTGGACAATTTTTGGTGGCTAAGAGCACTTTAAAAACAAGACTGCTTTTTATCTAGAATAAACAGAAATGTTAATAACTAAATGCAAACAATAATACAAAAAGCAAAACAAAATAAATAGCAAAGATGAAAAGTATTCTATATTAGAATAAATCTGTGTGCAACAGAATTCAGGGTGTAAACAAATTAAATCTTGACCACAGAGACTCATATTGATCAGACTTTCCACAATACAGTAACTCTAAAAGGTGCACACGTATTTTCTATCTTGTGTTTTAAAACAGGTGTACTAGAATCTTTCCACTATAATAAAACAGTGTTCCGAGCAGCTGATATAAATCCAAAATTCTTGATACTTCAATAGATTCCAAATTTGGGGAATATAATTTAATATTACATTCACATATTTCTGTTTCTTTCCTCAACATTCTGTTTACAATTGTGATGGAATGGAATTATGAAGGCCAGACTCAGGGAGAAAAACGTTTTCTT